CCCCAAAACCCCAAAACCCCAAAACCCCAAAACCCCAAAACCCCGTGTTACAATTTTATAAAATACTAGATTAAATTTTAGAAATTTACACGATGGACTACTTCCTAGATGAAGAAGATGAAGACATTTTCTTAGAAGAAATGGACTTCCTGCTTGCAACTTATTTAAACATCCCTTCTGAGGGATATGATGAGTTTCAAGATGTACCAAGAGGCCCGATTGGTCTGGAATATGGTAGGAAATTTTATTTGGAAGATACTAATTTGTATAGATGACCAGTTTTCATGTCCAAGACTCAAGAAAATCGCCTTTACCCCTGAAAATCATCGGTTTTCTATTAATGTAAAGGTCTCTAAGAGGAACAAGAAAAGAGAGCTTTTAAACTTTTTGAAGAATTATGGGCATCTTGAGCTGACAAATTTATGAATTCGTTCAACTTCTGGCTCAATTCCATTACCAATAGGACCAATGCTTCCTTCTGTTATGAAAATGCTGCCCAGAGTTACTTCTCAGTGAAAGCTATATATGCTTGATCTGAAGAGTAAGCAAATAGCTCATATTCTGTATACTCTTTCGACAAGTATAGCCACTGAGATTGAGTTAAATCGTTGTAAAATCGAGCCAGTCAAATCAGTTGTTTTACCTAGAACACCCTCATTGGTTCATTTCTTGACAATCATGAAATGAATGAAGACATCTGGATCAGGAGATGATAGAACTAATCAAAGATGAGTTTGTAAAGATATGCTTTCTCCCAACCACCAGCCATGAGCCTCTAACTTATCTTATGTCAGCCTCTATGATCCTGAAATAATATCAATTCTAGAACTAATGAGCTTATGGGGAGTTACCCGAACAATAGAAAACGTAACAATAGGATTTTACGGCACCGACGTTGAATTCACTTCCATACGTAAGATAAAGAAAGATCTTGGGTACAAAAAGAGCTTCTTCCGGTTGATTAACTACTCTGAAAAGGAATCAAGGAGCCAACAGTAATTAAAATTACAGGCCTTCTCATAATTTCAACCCTCTTCGTGTCCCCCGGGGTTTTGGGGTTTTGGGGTTTTGGGGTTTTGGGG